CAAGGGCAAAAACTATCGTATCACTGAGCTGAGATCTTTATGATGAGAAGGACTTCCACCTTCAAACTAACATAGTTTCTGGATTTGAATTATCTTCCACGTGAGGAGTGTTGTCTTTCAATCTGACCTACATGAAACTATCACTTGTTTGGATTACGGATTTGAAACACGCACTTCTACAAGAAGCAGATTTTCAAACCTTGTTACTTATCGGCAAAAAAGTTGATTTACTGTGTGTTACATACAGTGTTTTCACCAACATTGACGACATAAATCACCAAGTGATTCAATCGAGGCTTTGAGTTGAGATAATTCACATAACATTCTTCTAAGTTATCTTCTTCAGACTATCACATGGAGCTATGGTGATATCATTCACATGTGGCGTAATTTCCAACCTTGTCTTTTTAAAACTATCACCTATTTCAGTTATGGAGTTATGGTGATATCATTAACATATGGCGTATTTTCCAACTTTGTCTTTTTAAAACTATCACCTATTTCGGTTGGCGAGTTGTGATGATATTCACATAGGGCATATATTAAAATCTTATCCTCTTCAAAATGTCACGTTTCGATCATCGACTTGAGTTAAGATCTTCCACAAGAGGCGTATTCTCAAAACTTACGCTTATTTAGATCAGACTGCTGATAAATATTTTCCCAAAACAATGCAAGAAATTATTTACATCAATCTAATGGACAAAGCACAATTCAGTAGATTTCGACTTGTTATCACACGGAATAATGTCGTTAATTGTAGTACAGATTAAGATTACTTATTCTTCATATATTTACTCTCTCCGTCTCTCTCTCTCTCTCTCTCTCTCTCACACACACACACACACACACATACACAAACACTCTCTCTGTCTTACCGGAATCACTCTCTTCTCTCTCTCTCTCTCACACACACACACACACACACACTCTCTCTCTCTCTCTCTCTCTCTCTCTCTTTTTCTTTCTTTTTTCACTCCCACTCTCTTTTCTATTTTCTTTTTGTAAATTATTCGCCATAGGCTTCAGAAACTGCTCTTTCACTTAGCACCACCTACCGGGCAATGTTCTCGAGTCCAAATTAATAGCCAGCAAGGGGCGGATAACTATGATTAGACATCAAACACAGTATTAATACCTTGCCGGAAATTTCTGATGACCTTTCCCATGCCTTGGTCTTAGTGCAATCACGTGAGGAGATAAACCGGAAGGCAATTAGTGACGTACCTCATTTATCTCCCGGGTGATAGCAGCTTCAAATTCTTTCGTTGCGACTTCGTTTTCTTAATTTTCTTTATTGAAGACATCCGAGATGAAGACCACTCGTTTACTTCTACTAAATTTAACAAGATTCTATTTTGAAACCAAAATGTGTAAGTGGCCATAACAGCTATCGGAGCCGTCCGGATAGATTGGATCGCAGGCGTCAGATCCTGAAATTATTCGTGATAAATTCTTAATTAATGATAAGCTCTAAAAAGAGCCTTACTTCTTGATTTATAACTTTGCAAGTTTGTCTTATCAAGTTTCCAAAATGCCAGGATAATAAACGTTTATATTTAAAATATGTTTACACCATTGTCAGAAACAAGCGACTATTGATAATATTTAACATTTTAATATACACAGTCCATTGCTAAAAAAAAACTGAAAAATGGTCAGCTCACTATATCGCTCCAGGAAGTAACCTCTTTCTTCTCCTATAGTTTATCTTTACAAGAGTCAAATTTGAACAAAAATGAATGAAAAAGTCTATGCTTTCGTTTAGTTGTTTTTGTTTAGCGGCATATCAACACCTTTATGGGGTGTAATTCGCTTTTTAAGCCCCGTGCTAAGTATCTTATAAAAATTTCCCGAATAGTTATATTTAGGTGTAAATGTACATGCTTAATTCGAAAATAACAAAGAAATTTTGGTAAAATCTACCTTTTTGGAGTTATCGACAATAAAAGTCGGACTCATTCGTGTTACGGCATGGCAGTCATTACTGGCGTTGTTTGCATGCATTCGCTGCTGATAGATTTGCGCGGAAGATTACATTCTTAACGGCTTTTTACGGTTCTTGCTTGACTCAATTACCGCGCAACCGAGGACTCAATGCGTGCGCAATAATCAAGACTATTCCGCACCAAACAACGCCAGTAATGGCTGCCGCGATGCAAATGAGTATGTAGGGAAAATGAAACAATAATAATACACAAGAAAATAACAAAAAAGAAATTTATAGATGGAAGGCTTCCTATACTAAGGTATAATGCCTCTAATATTTTTAAGTGTTTATCAGAGCGCGCTCTGTTGATTATGGTAAAGGAATCCCTGGCAAAAGACAACACACACCGGATTATTTATTAAGTGTTCAGCAATCGCTGAACCTGAAGTATTAACCAACTTATCGCCTCTCCCATGACGGATCTTAGCTGACACATGCTGTATTTGTGTTCTATAGTTAACAGTTAGTCCTTTCTTCTCGCTTTTCTTTTCTGTCTTCTGTCGGAGTTTTTGTAGTTCTGAGTCTGCCATCCGTGTATCTGACGTTGTTTACATAATGTCTACCAATAATAAATCCTGGTAGACAATCTAGTTCCAAAGGGATTATCTCGCTGAATAGGTTAAGGAAATCCACAGAGAAATCACATCCTTGTCTTACCCTTTGCCGTTCTAATTTTGTGTATTTGCTTAATTCTTATTTTATCCACATCAGTGTGTTTTGTCCCCACTGAAAGATGTAGATTATCCTAATCTGCTCGTTCTTTCATATGCTCTGTACCCACCAGAATGGTCGATCATGGCTCTCCACAACTACCTGTGCTTGGTAGATCTAAGCAATGTTTGTCCCATTACATTAAGACCTAGCAGCCATTCCTTCTGTTTACAGGGGAAAGATTTTTTATAACTAATATATAATGTCCCTAATATTTTCAAGTCGTAATCGGAGTGCGCACGTCTGATTATGATAAAGTAACACTCAAATAAACGGAATTGGACACACCGGATTATTTATGAAGTGTTCAGCAACATATGAACGGCGAGGACGTTTTTAACAAATAGAAACAAAAAAGACATTTACGATAAGAATCAGAAAAAATGCGGAAAAAAGGCTTTGAAAATTTAACACTCACAGGGTACGTTAAAGGCGGATAGAGACAGAGGGAAACAGCGAGTTAGCTTGTGCAAATGAATAGCAGAACATGGAGTGGGAATTATAGTAAAAAGACAAACATTTCTAAGAGCTACAAAAGATAGGAAGTTGTGCAGAGCCATTATCGCCTAATTTTGAAAAGAAAAAAATCCTTTCAGGGCGTAGGCGAATATAACTCTCCACAGATTACTACTTTTGTTTATTATCTGTGAATTGCTATGAATTCTTCGGAAAGTCTATTCTGTTTGATATAGCGGAGTAGAGCTCAATCCTATTTAATCCATATTAGGGAGAAGAGAGTATAAATGAATTCATACCTTTCTCCAGAAGTTGAACTCGGCTCGCTGGTTTCACTTTCGATAATCGCTACGCTATGCACGCAGCCATAGATGAGGATATTTGTCTAATTCCTGGAAAAATGTTATTTCTTTATCTTAAAATTTCAAACTTCTCAAGAAAGTAAGAACACATCCGTAGAAATGTAAACGAAACAAGAAAGATAATGATAGTAGAACAAATAATGGAATTTAAATTTTCTCTGTGAATTTCTGGGATGAAGAATTTCCATTATTTACTGCAGCATAAAAAGGGTAAATTTAAGGCCTCGACTTCTACACTAAGAATTACCCGACATTACTTACTCGGTGGATAAAAACAGCGGTTCTTGAAATTGCTAATTTCAAGCGCATTTAAACCCAGTGAAAACACGGTGGGTAGTAACTGAGCAGCACTATAAATAAGAAAAAGATATCTCGAGATATGGTCAGCGGAACGAAAAAAAACCCAACCCCACCCGAAGAATTTTACCCGGACCGACAAACTGCTGATGAAAAATAGGGGCCACAATGGCCGAAGGGTTTTAATAATAACAATAAGGAGATCGGTAAATAGAATTTAAAATTTCAGATATTTTTATCATTTTTTTCTTTTTACACAATGAGGAAGTGTAGAATTTGAGAACTGGTTCAACTCGTTTACATTGAAAGACTATGAGATTCCTGGCATTCAATATGTTTTTTCGGTGTTACATATTTATGTTTGTTTGCGTAACATCTTTTAGAATGGCCCACTATCAATCCCTTCAAAGGCTGCATAAAATAGGGATCAGATTGTTTCAGCAAACATTTCCATATGTGGGAGGAGATATTTACCTTTTACTTATTGGTTATGTTCAGTGTCCAGCCTACGAAGTGAACTCACTTTCATTTTACACACCTTCTTTTTTTTTCTCTAAGAACCACTTGAAGATATCTGGATATGGTATGCTCCTGAGAGAAACCGGTCAAAGCTTGTGATATAAGCTGCTAAATAGAAAGCGTTTCACGAGAAAAAAAATCAAATGAGAGCATCATGATATTCATCTCAGAGACCAAAATTGTTTCGTAATGCTTTGAAAACGAGCAAAAAGGATTCTTTTTTCCCCTTTCCTGTTTAGATATATTATCAGACATCTAAAGGCAATTTCAAGATTATTTATTTACCCCCCCCCCATCTCGTAGCAGGCAACGACATAGGAACTTTTATTTGTGAGACTGCCACACTCTGATAGGATTACTCTGTTCGAATTCCTTACTAGCATGTGTTTTCCGTTGTTTCTCTCGAGACTTCCGATGCTAAATATTTTCTGGATCCTCTCTTTGATAAAAATGGCAACTTTAGCAGCAGCATCACCATCACTACCACAGTAAACCTCGACCTTCAACTTTATTGAAATTGAATAATAATAATTGTTGTTGTTGTTGTTATTCCTCCTCCTCCTCCTTTTTCGTTCCTTAGCTCGCGCGTTCGTTACTTCCTGCCAATACCTAATAAATAACGGACTATTCCGTCTTGATCGCGAGTAAAGAACAAATAACACATA